TGCATCCTGGATTCCATTGTTAGCCAATACCCATCGTTACTATACATAATATGCATCAGTATGCACCCTAGTATATTCTTTTCAAGATGATCGCAAGAAAATGCGTAAAGAGATTAAATTACTAAGTCTTTTTAACCTGAAATCAAAAGTATTTATCACCAAGTACCAATAATTGGGTGAATCTTATGACAACAGAATAAAAAATATACTCATTAAATGGATTTAAAGAAGAAATTGCGGCAAGGAATAAGAAAAATAGACATCATGTTTCCCCATGATGAGAGTACCAATAGTGAAAAGGTTTGAATTAGTATTATTTTATTTCAAAGTTCAGCATCAAATATTTTAAATTACTTAGATACTTAGTAATGATGGGTAAGGGTTAGTTGTGAAATTCAAGACGCGTGTTTCGTCAGCTGGATGTACCTACCCCCAGTGAGTGATGTTCTTCTTGCTAAGACTCTAACCTAGAATCAATCGCTTCAAATGCAAGAGAGTTATCCACTATTCCACCGAGTCACTATGCTCTAACAATAACAGACTTAGAATCTTAGTCATAAAACTGGGGAACAAATAGTGGTTCTCGTGCCCAAGTGGCCTCCTAGTGGATAGCGCTCCAGTGATTGAAGCAACAGGTACTGGGTTCGAGTTTCAGTAGGAGCAGCATCACTCATTGGGGTGCATATGCATCCAGTCGACGAAACACACCTCCTTGACTCCACTGTGAGTCACCAAGATGAATATAAAATCAAGTGACAATTTTTGAAAGTTCAAAACTTTTAAATATCTCGTAGAATAAGTATGTTTAATGATTAAATAACCTAAACTAGATGCTTATAAAGTCCAGAACCTGGTTCGAAGCTTGCTTCATTTGTTTAAGTAATTTGTCCATTCTACTTGTTAAAAACTGACTTCTATCCAAAGTTATAACTACCTGCGAGTGTGATCTGAAGAAGAAACATGGAACTATGATGACCTGTCACTCTTCTTCGTGTTAAAATTTATCTTTTTTTATCCTTAATAAAGACAAGAAGCAGTGTTTGCGGAAAGTTGTGAATTGTATAGATGCTTCCATCAAGCTGTTTTTCTTCTTCGACAGTTGGTCTTTAATTTGAAGGTTAATTTTTGTGTAAACCATCAAATGATAATCTGATTAACTTTGTTTTCAAACGTTTGCACCCGATCTCATCATCATCAAGATAAACATAGGAGCAGGCATTACTACGTAACGGTCTAAGTTCCCATATAGCATATCAGCACAATAAGTAACATGGCAATAAAATGGAAGATGAAGAAGAAAAATCGGTCAAAAGAAGTAGTATGTAGTGAAAGAGAGGAGAGCGGAATGAGAAACTGATGAGATTAGGTAGAAAGGTTAGGATGAGGATAATGCACGGTTACATCTGCGCCATTAACATCGGTTCTGAGTCATATCACCTAGATTCTCTAACCACTTGTTTCTTTTGTTCCTCAGACCCTAGCTGGCTGGTTTGCATCGCTCCACATGGCTCAGACGAACAGATAGGGACTTCATGTATTGATGTCTTGGCCACTGAGAGCCTTTTGCTAGCCGGAACCTACTTCATCCAACATTGTGTAACGAGGCAGATGATGGTTAGGTATACGAAACACATATGCCAGCCACCATCTCAGTCGATGAAGGCTCACAACAGTATCAAGTGAATTAACTTTCCCCCTTAGGGCGGAAAAACTCTACGTCTAACTTCGGTGTTACTCATGTGGTGACACCACGAAACACGGCCTTTGCTAAGAAGGCAATGGTGGTCAAACACCTGGAAACTTATTATGTCTTCTACCTTTAGTGGCCATGTTTTACAGCCGTACAGCAGAACAGAGTGGACTGCAGCACAGTACACTCTACTCTCAATAGACACTCGGATGCCGCGGTGGCACCACAGATGGCGTAAGTTGACAAAAGGCTACCGATATTTTTGTATCCGTGCAGAGATTTTGTCAGCCACTTACCAACGCACCAGGCTGATTTGACTTCCTGAACACTCCCAAAGCGCTACTCAGGGTATCCTGAAGACTCCACATCTTATCAGCGTCTTCACCTAACAGGACTATTTCATCTGCATATTCTAGGTCAACCCAAATATTTCCTGTGATTAGGTCAATCTATGTGTAGTCAGATGACGAGAGGGAGATTTTCATTAAAACGTGTACGGTAAAATTGAATAAGAATGAAGAGAGTGGGGATCCTTGATGGACATCGCTTGAAGTAAAGAACTCATCGGACATCTCCCTATAGGCTCTAACGCGATCATAAGTGTCCGAGCAAGAGAGCCTTCAATAAGGTGGTATACTTAATCGGTACTCCGTGGTCAATCTAATTAACTTAGCTACTGCCAGGAATTTAGGTGAAACTATTTTGCCTGCATGGCTTATTTTCTTGAAATTATTCAAAGAAAATATGAACTATTCAGTTAATAATTAACGACTTATGTTACTTACTTTACAGAAGTAGATTATAATTAAACTGGTCTCAAACATCGCTGGTATGTTAATAGAATTACACTTTGATTTGTCGTTCATAATGGTCCTCCATTTCTAAGAAATTCTTTTGATACTTTCTTTTCAGAAGTAAATTACTAGTTAGCAGGTAACATAGTTGTATTCTTTAAAAAACGTCAGCCTACACTCTTAGACCCGACCAGTTCTTCAAGTACAGAAGAGTCGTAAGATTCTAGCTAAGTCGACTACTCACTGGCACTATGAACTTCGGAAACAGTTTATTAGTAGTAATAGTTATGATAATGATAATAATAATGGCTTTATTCTGAGAGGCATTTCGAGAATACTCTACGAAATTTTCAGCATGTCATGTAGCACCAGTTGGACAGAAACATACACATAGCAAAGTGAAATGAGAAGAAATTATGAGTATAAAAGACAAGAATATTCCCTCTATCTACAGCTTTCTTGAAAATGCAGAGTCAATTTAGGTAGACAATCATACCAGCAACTAGGTTCATAATACATAAATAGTAACATGCTCATCGTCATCATCATCATCAGCAGTTAGTTTGGTTTCAAAAACAGAAGTTGATTAGTTAGTTCATTTCCAATGATTACTTCGTCGTACAGCAGACGAGTTAAATATGGAATTGTATAGTTTGTATATTTTGTAGTATGTGCATAAAGTCTTATGTACTTGCTCCTTGTCTTTCCAGATGACCGATACGCAGACAGCATTGAGTGAAGATGATGCTGGTCATCTGATAAAATAACTCCTGACATATGTTTACATGAGTAAAGATGTTTGTCCATATTTGTTTTAACCAGACGATTTAGAGGTACACCACACATTCTGTTGACAATCTTCAAAGTTCTATGCAATATATGACAGTCTATTTTCAGGAAGGCGGGATACAATAAAGAGGAGAATAGGCAAGATGCAAGGGGTTTATAAAGCACAAGATGAGCAGCTGAGTTATACTGGGTACTCTCAGCTTCGTAATCTAGAAAGTTGGACGGAAAGTTCTTTTGGAAATTAGCACGATATAGGAGGATCAGTAAAGGCCCGAATAAAAACACACCGAGATAAATCACACTTGTGACATTCTCTAACGCACAAATGTCAGTACACCAGGAATCATGAGACCTGAGCAGTTTATATAAGTTAGGTTCACGTCTGAAACTGAAGTTTATAGTCCGACATTTTGAGGAATTAGGCACATAACCACTTACGGGGCACCATCGTCTAGCAGTAGATAGAAAATCATTCAGTTAGGAACAGTCTGTTGAAGAGGAGACAGGCATGGAAACTGTCAGATCATCAGCATATTCAATCATAGTTGATACTAGCTGAAGATTGTCAGTCATGCAAAAAGAAAAAGAGGGGGAAAAGATGGCTTTTCGGGGAGCTCCAGTCATAGTAAGCAACGAGGTGGAGTGCTTCCTTCTGTGAACAGCAGATTGTTTCTTTTCATGGAAGTAGGACTGCAGCCAGCTGACTATCGAGGATTCGGTATTTGTCCCGGTTAGCTTGTCCAGAGAAAGATGTCTTGAGACAGAATCAAATGCCGAAGTATAGTCTAGAAAGGCACTTCTGACTTACTTGTAATTCCCATCAGGATTACAAACAATATTGTGATATAAGAGAGAGTGGTGGTTTCCAGAGCGCTTCTTTTGCTTTTAGGTGCAAATTGATTAGGGTCTTCGAACGCCTTTAATGAGGGTTCGAGCACAAGTATTATTAGCTTCTCCGTTATATTCAAGAACTCATAGGTAACTGCAGTCAGATGGAATTTTGGACATGCACCTGGAGTCCCTGACTTCGTTATGGGGACTATCTTAATATCCTTTCAGGCAGGTGGTATCTTTTTTTCTAAAAGCGATCTGTTGGATATATTAGCTAATGGATAGCATAAAATATCAGCACATTTCGTGAATACAAAGCTTGATATACCATCCGAACCTTAACTATGTGAAGGATTCAGGGATTTGAGACATTCGAAAACATCCTTCTCGGTGAACTCTGGACAGGATTCTTTATTGGACGAATGTTGACAAAGTGGGATGGGACTGTTGGGTTGGCGTAGAAACTTTATGTTTAAAGCACAGGCGTTAACATATGCTTCTCTACTAAGGTGTTTACTACCATGAGGTCTTTAAATTATTCCCACTTGCTGGAAATTATGCCAACGTTAGAGATAAGAGAACCATCAATTGAGACTTATTCAAGACTAGTTTATTGTTTAATTTACTAAAACAGATTACTTGTTGTTATTGAGTTGTTTAGTCTCTTCAGCGTCCAACTTAGTGATAGATACACAGATACATTACAGATTTGGAAAAGGCGAGTAGCTACTAATGTACTATAATATTTATATATATTTTGCAAAGCTTTACATCTATGTATCTACGCACAGTCTCATACAATATGTTTTCATTCATTTACTACGAAATTTTGTTTAAAACATAAATAAATAAGCATGTAAACGATAATCATTTCAAAATCTTTTTTCTTATCACAGAATAGACCAAAACCTGGAAGAAGAAAAAGGAATCGATCAACTAGTTACAGATGACATATTTCATCCAGTCATAGATTCAGCTATTGAAACAGAAAGATTAGTGATCAATGTAAGCGGTTTACGTTTTGAAACTCAAGTACGCACTGTAAGTCAATTCCCTGACACCTTGTTAGGTAATCCAAATAAACGTAATCATTATTATGATCCATTAAGAAATGAATACTTTTTTGATAGAAATCGTTCAAGTTTTGATGGTATCTTATATTTCTATCAAAGTGGTGGAAGACTTCGTCGACCGGTTAATGTACCAATTGATGTATTCAATGAAGAAATAAAATTTTATGAACTTGGTGATGAAGCTTTAGCTAAATATCATGAAGAAGAAGGATATATTAAAGAAGAGCCAAAAATTCTACCAAGAAATCGTTTTCAGCGTAAAGTATGGCTTTTATTTGAATATCCAGAGAGTTCATTAGCTGCTCGTATACTAGCTATTGGTTCAGTATTTGTTATAATTCTATCTATTATAATTTTTTGTTTAGAAACTCTACCACATTTTCGTCGTTATAGAATAATGAATCATTTCAATGCTTCAATTTATAATGAAGAAGTCATTTTTGAAGAGGATGATTTACCAACTATAGATCAACCATTTTTTATTATTGAAACATTTTGTATAGTTTGGTTCAGTTGTGAATTGTTAGTACGTTTTGCATCTTCTCCTAAAAAATTTGCATTTTTCAAAGTTTTAATGAATGTTATTGATGTAGTTTCAATTATTCCTTATTTTATTACTGTTGGTGCTGTGATTATTGATGATCCTAAGCAGCGTAATCAAACTACATCATTGGCTGTGTTAAGAGTTATTCGTCTAGTTCGAGTTTTTCGAATATTCAAATTATCCAGACATTCAAAAGGATTACAAATCTTGGGACAGACATTGAGAGCAAGTGTTCGAGAATTAGGTTTACTTGTATTCTTTTTACTCATTTGTGTTATATTATTCTCCTCAGCTGTATATTTTGCTGAAGCTGATGCTGACACTTCGTTATTTCGTAGTATACCAGATGGATTTTGGTGGGCTGTTGTAACAATGACTACAGTTGGTTATGGTGATATGCGACCAGTAACAGTATGGGGAAAATTGATTGGTTCATTATGTGCTATAGCTGGTGTATTGACAATTGCTTTACCAGTGCCTGTTATTGTTTCTAATTTCAATTATTTTTATCATCGTGAAACTGGAGCCGATGAAACATCACATTCTTTATCCTCTTCAATGGAAACAGACGATGATAATGATGATGATGATAATAATGACGGAGATAATGAAGAAAAACAAAAACATTCAAAAACTGCCTACATTATGAATAGTAGTAGTGTAAATCGATTACAAAAGAAAATTTCTCATAAAGACAGTAGCATAGTCAAAATGATACAATAGTACCTGGTGCCTTGAAACAAAACTCTATTTCACCGAAAAAATCAACACATATACCACTTTTCTAGTCATATCAATATATGAATAAATCAGAAGAATATTTTATTTATTTTCTATAAATTCATTCACATCTGTATTATTCATTTTCTTAGTTATATGCCAAAAAAGTGAGATATATATATAGAGAGAGAGAAGGTAGTGATATATTTCATTTGTTATATATAACTAGAAAAACTTTAATTACTCATCATTGCTCACAATATTCTTCAAGATAATAACAATAATAATAATAACTTTCTGCATTAGTATTATTCATAGTGTTCTATACACCTTTAATGGTTCAGTTTACATCAAAGAAATATGAGTATATCAAGATAAATAATTATTAATTACAAATTGTATTTAATTGCGTATGGAAATGGATAAAAAAATACCAGAAATTATTTTATACAATTAATATTATTACCACCGGTTGATTATGATGAAGTTAATAATTCTTAAAATTATCCAATTAATCATTATTCAATAACAGGCATAGATAAAAAGTAAATAAAGGAACTATTTTTTATTGAAAAATCACTTCAATGAAGTATTTCACTTCTCTTTTCTTATAACTTGAAGAAACAATAGACAACATACTATTATAATACATATACTATGAAAACTTTATGGCCAGATCTATTCAAATTGGAATGATGATAAATGTAAAGAGGATACTTCTATTGAAAAGGAATTTCAAAAAGACACCTGGTCAAAGTTTTCTCATGTAGATGAGTTTATTTACCAATATGGAATAATTTATGCACTAAGCGTATGTATGCATACAAATTATCAATATAGATTTTTCATATATATAAAAAAAGTTAAAACATTTCTCATTTCTGTATTAAAATTTCTTTCCATATATTTTTTGTAAAAATCAATACTGTGTAATAAATGAAGGTGAAAAGAAAACTTGAACCATGGTTGGATTCGAACCAGTGGCCATCACATCTCCGGCATAATGCTCTACCAACTAAGCTATGAGGTTCAACAGCTGACCAGATTTTTATTTTACTTCAATCATTAAAGGGTTCAGCCAACTAATATTTGAATTAGTGACGTGTTACTACAGCTTGATTGTATTCACAATGGTTACCCAATCAGGACTTCTTATCTCAATCCAAATCTAAGTGAATCAGAGAGCGAGGGGAAGTATCATATTGGTTATCATTTTCACTATCTGAGATAGATGTGGCATGGTAGACTAGTACTTATACTGTAATGATTAAAGGTGAAATGAAAATTTGTACTCTTATCTTGGTAAGCAGGTTTCTTTGTCAAGTTTAAGTTTACCGAAATTGGTATATCCAGCGGTTAAACATACGTTGTCTTTGTACAGAATGTCATTTGCACTGCGTTAGAAGAATATTTATCAGCACCACAGTATCTTTGTTACAGACCACTTGTTAATGGATACTTGAACAGTATCCTACAGATTCCATTCCTTTATGGTCTCTCAGTTTCTCGATAAATAGAAAAAGGTGATAAGGTAACAGAAGGTGTATTGCGACGTCAAAACATATGCAAAATACAATGATTGATATGTATTTACAGTAGCCCTTAGTATCTTCAGGCCTTTGTAGATTAAAATATCCACTTGATTCTTGTCTCTTCAACCAATCTGATGTTTAAGCTGTTTATTGACATACTCGTTTATTCTCCGTTGTTTTGTTGGATCAAATTGTTCTACCTCCATTGGCGTATGGGCTCCTATGCGGATGCCCCGATATTGCTTGAATGTTAATTATGATAATTTGCTTGGTTGTGGCTGGCAGAAGGATCCAGCTGGATGTACCTACACCCCAGTGATGTTCCCACTGAGACTCGAACCTCGTACCCATCGCTTCAAACGTCAAGGCGTAATCCACTATGTCACTGAGGAAAGTTGGTTCATCTGCTTTCTCCCGAAAGTTCACAATAAAATGATTAGTTGTAACAGTCTTCAGGAATATGAGGCTTCTTGTGAAGATTTTGTCAATCTTAATTGACACTATAACAGTCCTTCATTACTCTTTGGATAGATAAGAGAGTCATGTCTCATAGTTTAGAGGTAATTTATGATTTTCGGGACAAACGATTGATATTTTTTCATCAATACTTTTGAGTATTCTTGAGAAGCAAACACTCTTTTCATTCATTTATTATAATCTTGTTCCAGGGCAAAATGTTAATTTGAAGATAATAAACTTCTCTGAAGTTTTATTTAGAACTTTACAAGGATGTAAGAGAATGGATAGTGTATAATATGAACATCAAGAGTGCTTGTTAACACTCACTTTTAAAGCAAAGCCAAAAGACACTCATCAACCACTCAAAATACTATATGGTAGACACACTTCAGATCTTCATGCCACTTTGTCTAAATTCTAGTTACCGCTAATTAGCTGTCCCCATTTCGGGTATCTGATATGTATGAAGAAGTTATATGTATGCATCTTGGTAGAAGAAAAACGGTTTAACTGGGTCAAATTCTGTATTGAAAGCGTACTGTTTAGAAATACACTTACTGATTAAGAACTCAACGCTCTCCTTCTGTCTTCTGCTTTGCGTCATTATAAAACCACTGTAGTAAATAATATTTCATTGCTTGGTATAATTGCTACTTGAAAATAAAGAACAAGATATTCAGTGAAGAGACTATTTTCAACAAATTTATTTTCAAGCTGTAAAATTGTATATACATGGTATTTGAAAAATCGTATCCCCTGACGAAAACTAAACACTCTATGATGATGATGATGATGATGATGATGATGATGATGATGATGATGATGATGGCAATAACAGTAATACGGATGATGGTATAGGTATTTGGGATTATGATAACAGTTGAAGTATGAACGATAAAGTAGATTATATAATATATGGAATGGTTCAAGGGAGCCATTTAACTCACAAAGGGGGGGGAGTGGTAAATCAATTAAGTATTATGTAATAAGATTAGACAAGTTGGTCAAGATGAAATCCATGTTTTCTAAAAAGACAATTAAGTAAAATAACACCGGGAACTAATCAAAGTGAAAGCGATTATAATAACAATAATAGCGATAAAGACTAAGTTAACAAAGGGTAGGATAAACTAATGGGGGTTGGGAAATGTTATGGGCATGGTAAAAACAATGACTATACATACTTCTTTTGTACACACAGATTAAGTTTTAGTTCATGAATAACTAAAGCCCCTGCTGTTTCAAGGAGCTGAAAGCGAAGAAAACGTGGGAGGTTTGGGCGAATTTGATAAGTGATTTTAAAGTCATTGTCTGGGTTTGTTGAGTGATGAAAATCAATCAAACATCCTAGAATTGAACTTCTAACAGACTTTCTTTCACCTACATAAAACAAGCTGGAACAGGTTTTCGTATACGTGCAGAAAGCATTCTCTGGCTAAGGCCGAGGTACACTGCTACACAACAGCAGGTGAACTGGTAGATGCACATAAAGGTGGCCAAACGAGGAAGCCTATCTTTAACACAAACGGAGAGTAATTTACGGCTGGTAAAAGTCAATTGAAGTCTTGCTACGAAGAAAGCTCTATTGATTGATTCGCTTAAACGATTCTTCAGTACATTTGATACTAAGTCATCTTTAAATTCTAGGCTCTTGTACAATCTTTTCTTTGAAACCGAGTGGATGACCGGTTTGGTATTTCTTTATCGCATATTTTTATCAATAAAACTTCAGGGGTAATCGTTTTGGATAAGTATGCCTTTTAAAAAGATAGCCTTTCATCAACACAACCTTCACTAGAGATATTTCTTATTCTATAGCAGAGAAAGGGAGAGTGAATAAGATTCGTTTTTCTATTGACAGGTACCCAACTATAAAAATTAGTTAGTTGTCCGTTTCATATTGCTTTTATGTAGATGGATCTTTTAACGAATCCATTCTTCCGTCGGGTGAGAAACATTAGATTTCATGATGATAAAATTAATCCCAAAGAGGTAATTTAAACATAGGGTTACTTATCTTTTTACACCTGAACCTTGTCTGTATATAGGGTACACAATTTTGTATTTAAATATACGATTGTAATTAGGTATGCATAGGTATTTACGGATATGGTTCAATTGACCAAGTATTATTATTCAATTCTGTAATCAATTCAACTTGTAGTTTTATTATCCTAATGATTTAATTCAATAGCCTAATGCTTAAGTAATATTCTATCAAAATCTATCCCAAATAGTGGACAGAAATAATCACTGGTAAGTTTATTATTGTTGACATTTTTGTATAGTAATGAAGGATCTGGGGGGGGGGTGGATTAAGATAACGAATGACAATGCTTTTCTTTCTTTCATCTTAAAATCAATTTTTAATTGAATATTGGTTTTTCATATACTAATGAAATAAACAATAGTAATGGACCTAGTACCCGGTCACATCACTTTGTAAAATAGGGTTATTGGTTAATTTTCTCGATAGCTCTTGGTTGTATAACCCATATTTATTTACCTAAGAAGATCTTTTGAAATATCCTCAGAAATGACTTCAAAGTGGAGTAATTCTCAAATGTAGCGACTATCAACACCTTTGTATTGTTGCTTGTATTATCTCATCTTTGACTGAACCGAATTGATCAGTCTCTTTTGTCATATGGACACCGACATGGATGCCTCGATATTATTGGCATTATTGATAGATGGCAGCTAGTAGTAGAATCAAGCAAGCTTGTTTTGTTATATCTGGGACTTGTCAGCCAGATATGTGTCTACCCATCAATGAATTATGTTGTTTCTACCAAGACTCAAACCTAGGACCGACCTCTAAAAGTGCCAGATCATTATCCACTAGGCCATTGAGTTGCAGTGCCATTTCTTGGAGATACCAGTCTGCAGTTTGAAACGATCAGTCTTCGTTTCGAGTCTCAGTGGGACATCACCTACTAGGGGCTGGTAAATCCAGCTGATGAGTCCCAAATAGCACGCAACCGGTGTTCTGGGTTCCACTGATAACCTCTACCCATTGTTATCAATACTCTTACCTGATTTTATCAACAATGCAGTGCTAGTGGTTTCTGCTTTTATCCTACATTTTCTCAGTGAGGTTTTGTCTTTCACTGTTTTTTTTATTCATATTTTTACTTGGGAGGCAACATTGTCCATATATATTAAAATATTAAAAAGATGCACATTTGGTTCGGCTTCTAAATAACAGGACTTGCAGCAAATTCCTTGCATAGAGTACTTTTGAACAGGAAGCATCCTCTTATACTCTATTGCACTAAAACTTACCATTCTTTATTGGAAATATTGGCAAAAAATCCACCAAGGACTGAAATCAGTGGAAGGAACATTGGGAACCTGGAAGCAGTGGATGGCTACTTCGTCCCACTCGTACTGGACTCCTCAGCAGTGCTCACCCATCACACCACACCACACCACCAGACATTGAACCCACGACATTCAAGTTCCATGATTAACACGTCACTATTAAGCCATTGGGTCACAATACATCGGTCCATATTTCCTACTTCTGTCAGTTCACAATATAGCACGACCTCTATCCAATATCGTGGTTGAGTAACTGTCGTGATGTTTGAGTTGATTGACTCCACTGGTGACGACTTCTGATTGAAACTTCAGGAATCACTTCTCGAAGCCATTCACCAATGATGTCTGAATTTATTCTATCAGGAGGTCTGTGGAGGCCTAATAACTGATTTTAGGTTGGAATTCATCATGAACTGGTGCCAGTTGGAGGGAGATTAGAAACCCGGGAGCAATGGACAGCTATTCTGTTCTAGTATGGGACTACGTATCAGCAGCGATCACCAATGATCTCATCCCGCCAGGGATCGAACCCACGACCTACAGGTTCCATGGCCAGCACGTTATTATTGTACTACTGAGTCGGAACTTGAAGGTCCTGGGTACGATCCCTAGTAGAGCGGGACCTTGGGTACGTACTACTCAGGAGTCCAATACTAGGATGAAACAGCTGTCCAGTGTTCCCAGGTTTCCTACATTCCTCCAACTGATGTCAGTTCATGATGAATTACAACCTAGAATCATTTTATAAACTTTTACAAACCTTAAAAAAGCCAAAAAGTAATGATAAAGATTTTGTTAGTCATTTTTGTTTTACT